GGGCCAACCACCCCAAGGCCCCCCAGCCACTCCTCATGTGGCTTCCCCTCAAGGCCCTTCACCATCTTCGTTGCCTCCTTTGGACAAGAATGTTTTGTTACAAAAGTCTCTACAGAAGTTCTGTACGGGAAATAAAGTGAAGTCTCCAGAGACCTCTAGTGTTTCGATTTAATATCTACAGTGGGTCATCACATGCACAGCCGGAGAGCAACTCTTGGTTAGGAACTGCAGTGACAGGACAAGGAGTAATAGTGGTTGCCCGGGGAGGCTGTGGCTGCCTCAACCCTGGCAGTGTTCACAGCCAAGTTGGATGAAGTCTTGACCAATCTGGTGTGGTGGGAGGTGTCCCTGCCTAGGGCAGGGGGTTGGGGCTAAATTTTCTGTAAAGTCCATTCCAACCCCTTAACATACTATGAAATACTGGAAAAGAAATACCTCCTGTAAAAAGACTGAAAAGTAAACAGGTGCAGCACAGAAGAGTTTACCATGCAGTTGAGTCAGGGAGCAGTTCAAAGGATTTAGTGAAAATTACATGAAAATAAATTAAGGGGACACTTTCAGGAGCTGGGATTGGAATGTGCTGCCCAGGGAGGTGGTGGATTCACCATCCCTGGAGGTTTTCAAGGTGAGACTGGATGTGGCACTTAGTGCCATGCTCTAGTAACCATGGTAGGGTTGGACTTGGTGATAGGTCTTGTCTTTTCCAACCTGGTTGATTCTATGATTCTGTGATTTAGATATGAAGTGGTGCACCGTTGTCACGTGCAAATGTGGTTGGTTTGCATGCAATCTCTCAATTATTTTTTTCTCCAGAAACCAATCTGAATGACATCATTTCTCTGGGGTTTTCGGACATGCTGGTAATGACTAAATGTATCTTATATTACAGAGATGTTGCCAAGAATGCTTTGGTTGATTCTATGATTCTGTGATTTAGATATGAAGTGGTGCACCGTTGTCACGTGCAAATGTGGTTGGTTTGCATGCAATCTCTCAATTATTTTTTTCTCCAGAAACCAATCTGAATGACATCATTTCTCTGGGGTTTTCGGACATGCTGGTAATGACTAAATGTATCTTATATTACAGAGATGTTGCCAAGAATGCTTTGCTGCGCTGGCGTGCATTTATTTATTGGACATTCCTAGGAGTGTTTGATGCTGTGGTATTTTTCTTTGGTGCCTATTTATTGTTTGACAACACAGTTGTGACCAGCAATGGACAGGTTAGTGTTGGATTTGATCAGTCAAAGTTAATACTTTAAATATCCGTTTGGAAATGATCATAGCTTGAATTATTTTCTTCGCTATTTCCTGCACAGATAGTAAGTGTTTTATGAGTTATGGTAGCTGTTTAGTAAAGTCTGAACTACTTTATCAGTAAGCAAAGGCATAGGACGAGATACAACTCAGGGGAAATATATATTGTAATTTTCAAGTATTCCTTCAAAATTTGCACAGTAACTTTTCTTTGTTTCTTGCTTAACATGCACCTGATGAATATCTGTTTAACATAGCCAAAGACTCTTGGTAGAGTAGTTAATGAATGACCATAAAAGATATTAACTAGAACAAGCTTTTTAATAGTTTAATCATTCTTGACATATGGCAGCTTAAAATAATCTTATCTCTACTTGCTTTGCAGTTTCATAAATGCAAATTTTAAGAACTTTTGCATTTGATTTATTTTATCCATTGATATTTTGGTCTCTTTTATTTGTGTGCTTTTTTTTTTCTTTTTGCTACTTGCTTCTCTTCCTATCCTCAGCTAATGACAACCAGCACTCACATGGTAAGACTACTGTGGATTTGTCATGATATCCATTTCATCTTGCACTGGTCTTTAATTCAGCTGTTAAAGAGCAGTTAAATATTCTCCAGAACTATTTCAGAATAACCTGTAGTTAGAAATGTTCTTTATTGCTACTTTTTAAGTACTTAAAATAGAAGGAGCTTTCTCTACTGAGGTATATGAAACGTGGTAAAGTTCCATGAACTTCAGAAAGGCTTTTTGCTTCCTTGCACTTTGTTATTTTGTTGTGTGCTTTTCTGTAACCTACATTTTGTTGCTGACTCTCTGCTGTAGACATTTTTCACAGTTTGATGCTCTAACATGCTTGAATGGCTTGAGAAAAGACCCTCAAAGTGAGAAGGAAAACAAACTGTACACAATTTTGTTGCCTCTGTGTGTGTTTGCTAGGAATGCAATGTTCAAACATAATTAAAAAACATCTCTGTGACATCTGTCAAGGAAATTAACTTCTAGTGTGTGAGAGAGCACTTGTTAGAAGGAGCTTTTCTAAGGACAGGAAGAATTTCCATTAGCCAGAACTGTATACTGCAGTATATATTTTCCTGGTACCTTTATGGTCTGTATTTGCTGTTCAAAATTCTGCATCAGCTTGTATTTATGCTCCTGAAAATTAGACGTCTCATACCTGTACATATGTTGTAGACAGTTTGTATTGCTACAATCCTTACTGGGTTATGTTAATCATCATCCATTGCATCCATTGTAAAGCTCTAAAGCCAGACTGATGCCTAATTTTCCAGTTGGGAATGTGTAAATCTACAACTAGGTACTCCTGTTAATATTTGATAATAAAATGTGTTGCTTGAGGAGTGATTTTGACTCTTGAGTGTCAGAGTTGGTTAGAAAGTTCATCATTATTCAGCACATATCCTTGTGTGTATGGACAGAAGGACCTGGACTGACTGCATCAGTGGCTGAGGACAACTGCA